CACAGCCTTTCTAGCCAAATAAAGGGGGGGGGACTGTTATGGCCCAAGGCCTGATCTGTATCTTTATCATAACTGAGGGACTGCCAAAGGTTCATGCAGCTCTCAAACTTCCTTTACTTTTACCAAGCACTGGGAAAATTCTAATCTACACCACAGTATATATTAAAAAATTATAGAGAGTTAGTAATGAAATATGAAAATAAAAAGCAAAATCAATTACATTATCAACCACAGCACAATAAAAAACTTCCTTATTTCTTTTCTTTAATATAGAATATTCCGCAGTTGGCAGAGCTATCTATAGAAATAAACCATTTTTTGTTGTTCCTGGCAGGAAAGACATCAGACAAAGTAATAAAAATAGTCTTTTTAAAAAGAATAGATGCATATATTGAATCGATGTCTGTGTTTACAAAGGCAAAAAATGGGCTCATCAAAGTATAGCTATATTTCCTGTTGGTTTTTCAATGAAAACACTTTCATCAGATAAGAATTAATACTGGAATGTGTCAGAATCTTTCCTCCTTTTATCAAAGATAAAAAGGTTTTCACTGTAATTTTGGAATGTCACTAGCTTCATTTTCATATTTCTAATATATGAGGCAAATAAATAAGTCATATAATTGCTCATTATCTCTCAACCTTACATTTCTGAATTGGATTAATGTAGCCACAGTGAACACTGATTATCTCTGACAGGAAGTTATTAAATCCCTTTGGGGAGATTTTTTAAACATTTTTTTTCTTCACTTAGGTCTTAGGAGAAGTTATGTGAGTCTTGCCAGCAATGTATGTCATAAAGCATATGAAGAAGGAACGCAGGAAAATATTAGCTATCAATCAAAATCAGGGCTTAAAATTATGCTATGCATTTGATTGTGGATTTTGAAGACTTTAAAAAATTTCATTGAGTCTGACAGCAGGATATGATTCATATTTTTAATTTATTATGTCAAGAGTAAGAAAGTAAGTATGTCACAGGAAAATCCTCAACAGTAGTATCACATGTGGGTATGTACCAAAATTGACAAGTTGGTAGTCAGCCTGTTGTGAAGCAAACCCTAACCCCAGGGTCCCCAATTCCCAGGCTCTGGCTCACCAACAGGCTGTGGCCCATTTGGAATCGGGCTGTGCAAGTGTGAGGGGTGCATGCTCAGCTCCACTTGCACAAGCAGTGGACACTTGTGTTTGACCATGAAGGTCAATTAGTGTGAGCGGTGGCATAGCTTGGTGGGTGTGGCTTGCTGGGCGTGGCAGGGGAAGGATACTGTAAAATCTCCATTCCCTCCCCACTCCAGGGGAAGGTTACTGCAAAATCCCCATTTCCTCCCGATCAGCTGGGATTTGGGAGAATAGATGGGAGTGGGGCCAGTCAGAATTTTTACTACCCGTTCTCTGAACTACTCAAAATTTCCTCTACCGGTTCTCCAGAATTGGTCAGAACCTGCTGAAACCCACCTCTGAGCTGCGTATGCAAGTGTGCGGGCCTGCCATTCAAATAAAACAACTCCTTCTCCCCCCCCCCCCCCCACCCCGAAAGGTTGGGCATATCCCAATGAAGAATTGCTTTGCATCACCCCAAAAAGGAACGTTCAGGTGAGCCAACGTTCATTTTATGTTTTTGGGTGTTATCATAAAAGAGGACCTGATCTGGGGTGCTCACATTGCAGCAGTGGCCAGAAGAACCCAGCAGAGATTATACTACCTGAGACTTCTCAGGAAACAACAACTGAATGAAAAATTGCTGGTGACCTTCTACCCCTGCACTATAGAGAGTATTTTAACTTACTGCACTTGTATATGGTTTGCTAATTGCACACTGGCAGATAAGACAGCGCTCCAGAGGGTTAACAGAAGATCATTGGTTTCCCTCTCCCCTCCTTGGAAGAGCTTTACAGCTCCCGCTGCCTTAAGAAAGTTCAAAACATTCTTAAAGATCCATTTCATCCTGGGTACCCTTTTTTTTTGAACTATAACCATCTGGCAGATGGTATAGGACAATAAAAACAAGGACCAATAGGCTGAAAAACAGCTTCTATCCGAGAGCAGTAACTATATTGAATTCTACTGTATAGTGTAATATTAATGCAGTATCAGGGGTTTTTAATTCAATTGTATAGAAAGTGAAGGATGTGTGTTTTTGTTTTATTTTTATAGTTTTCTTATGTATGATGTACGCTGAAGATGGCATTTAATTTCATTGTATGAGGTGCAATGACAATAAAGTTAACTAACTAACTAACTAACTAACTAATATTCTATTTAAAACATCTGTTCAGTTCTGCTTACCTGTGTATTAATTAAAGCATGCCCATTCCTATTCACATTGTAATGGATTTCCTTTCCCTGTATGGGAATATCCTTCTATTTTGGTCTGAAAGTAGAATCCTTTACTTGCCAGTAGAGCCTGAAGTAAGGCAGGAATCAGTTCTAGCCCTACCATTTCACAACATGAATCTTGGGCAGCAGATGCTACAAGATGGCAGCAGCAGTGAGGTTTAAGAAGCTATCCAAAATCACATAACCTGTTTCTTCCATTGCCAGAACTAAATTTACATTCTTACTGAAGAATTTCAGTTTAATTTGTAAATGGAATTAAGGGAAGACACTATCTTGATTTTCACTTCCGACAACAAAATGTCTTAAGCCAACCCCGTACCTGATTATAGGCCATCATAGCAAGGCCTTACTTAGTTATGAACATGAGGAAATATCACTTTATTTCAGTAAACATTGGTAGTGTGGTTTGTAATTATACAGACCTATTGTGCCTGGGAAATATTCCAGTGGTTTTTACCTCTGTTGTAAGACAGTGCTGGCAGGTTTATTCTGGCATGTGGTAATAGAAGGGTATTTGTTTTATGCATCATGCATAGTATTGGGGGTGGGGGAAGGGCTGCAGAGCCATGAATATAAAAGTCAAACATAAAAAGAAATAGGATACATTAATCATTAAAAAATATTGGGCTCTATTTTCCTATTCTGTGCAGATATTCTTTTGAGGGGTCCTTGATGCTCTCTGAGCTTGGTTGTTTTCTTGCAGACATTTCATTCCCCAAACCAAGGAACATCATGAGTGCTAGATATTCTTTTTTTAAAAAGCCATCTGCTTATTTTAGCAGAAATACAAGAAATTCCACAAAATAGGTAGTTAAAATTAAAATGACTGAAACTAGTGCTGCACAGCTGTGCCTTATTCCGTGGCAGTTCCTGTTGCTTAGCCTGCTTACCTGTTGTCCTTTGGTCAGGCACGCAATCTGCTTTAGCTGTGTCTTAATCATGGTCTGTATACTTGTTTCTTCAAGTTTAGTTCCAGTTGTGTTCACTCCAATAAATTTCCAATGCTTCACATGTCATTCTGCTTCTGCTGCCAGATGTGCCCAATTTATGAGATGCAGAATCTAAGTCCAGATCCAGTTTAAACTAAGATGCTCTCAGCCTTTCTTTGGAGCAGTGGTCTTGATCCACTCATGTCTCTGTCTTGAAGCTCTCCTTACACATTGTTACAATTGCGAAGGGAGGAAAAAGGAACCCAGATATCATTTCCTTTCCCACATTTACCGATTGATGCACAGAATCCAATTAAGTTACTTGATCTCTTGGGGGAAAAAACATAAACACTTGGTGTAAAATAATAGCTTTAGGATGTCCAAGTTGCAATTTTAAGATGATCCTTTCCTTTTTAAGACTAAGCCGCTGAACTTGTCGATCAGAAAGGTCGGCAATTGGGCGGTTCGAATCCCTAGCACGGTGAGCTCTCGTTACTTGTCCCAACTTGTGCCAACCTAGCAGTTTGAAAGCACATAAAAATGCAAGTAGAAAAATAGGGACCACCTTTGGTGGGAACGTAACAGTGTTCCGCATGCCTTTGGCATTTAGTCATGCCGGCCACATGACCATGGAGATGTCTTCTGACAGCGCTGGCTCTTTGGCTCTGAAACGGAAATGAGCACTGCCCCTAGAGTTGGGAACAACTAGTACATACGTGCAAGGGGAACCTTTACCTTAATGACAAACTCTTTTCAGGAGGCATACAAATTGATATATTTTAATCTCACATGCAACATATCTTAAGAGTGGATTCAAACAGTTATGTTTCTTACTTGCTTAGTCATCATTTCTGCACTGAAAATTAAAGACCCATATGAGGTGTTCAGTACTGTATGATACGCACCACTCTTCCACAATCTGATGTTTTGCAGATACAGTAGAAAAGATTATAGATTTTGGGCATTTTAATCAAACACTTTCTGAAAGTGCTAAGCTGGGGAAGGCAGATGTAGACAAATGGAGTGGACTCACATAAAAAAGGGCAAATACTTGGTTGGCCTAGTGAGCAGACCTAGAGGTGCAGTGCAATTAATTTTAGCCATGAGCATCTGCACAAGGCCAATCAATACAACGGTATAAAAGGAATAAAGCTTGCATCATGACATCAAAGCATATATTCAGTTTCATTTTAATTCATTCAATTTGCAAGGCCACTCAAATCAGAATGACTCTGAGTGGCCTTAAAAGTTGATAAAATAGCAACAATGATCAAATAAGCAACACAAAAAATTGGGCAAACCCAATGCAGCAAGAGGACTTATTTGATGAACTCTTGGCTTGTAGCAAATGCTCCTAGTTTCAGATGAACAATAAGAAAAAACAGCCGAGACATTGTTTGACAACAGAATTAACTAGCTAGATTGATGGTAGAATCCACTTTGTGGGAAGATCTTCAGTTAGAAGGTGATAATCCATTAGTTCTCAGTTTCAGGCTTAGTTTAATTTCTTTCCAGTTGTCTGCTTGTTGACCTATGAAGCGGTAGTTGTTTGAAAAGATTTGTTGACGTGTCCATCATACACTGAATATTTTTCAGGGACCTAATTTTAACTAGCTCAATACATATGTTTATATACATTAGCTGCTTGTTTGCAGGATTTTTGTTAGGTTATCACAGAGATGTTGTTTTGACGAATTCCTAGCCATGGTTTATCCTTTATTCATGCTGCAGGGTACGAAATTCCTGGGTGCCTACCTGCCTATGGCAGCCTAGAATACTCCAGGGCAGGCTCGCAAAATCTTCACCTAGCCTCTGGGACAGGTAATTAAAGAGTGATATTTTATGAAGTTAATGTTTTTTTATAACTTTCTGCTATTGCTTTTCTTTCATTCCCTATCTCCCTTGCCAGTCATTTTCTTAATGCTTTGATAAAGGAGACAGTATTTTGAAAATAAGCCCAATTTGTTTACCTGCACCATCAGTTTCATGGCCATATAGTCTAACTATTTTTACAATCAAAATAGTTTTTTTTAAAGGTTCTGTAATGACTTCTGAAAAAGGGACATGGTGTCTCAGTGGCTAAGACGCTGAGCTTGTTGATCAGAAGGTCGGCAGTTCAGCGGTTCGAATCCCTGGCACCACATAACGGAGTGAGCTCCCGTTACTTGTCCCAGCTTCTGCCAACCTAGCAGTTCAAAAGCATGTAAAAAATGCAAGTAGAAAAATAGGGACCACCTTTGGTGGGAAGATAACAGCGCTCTGTGTGCCTTCAACATTTAATCATGCTGGCCACATGACCACGGAGATGTCTTCTGACAGCGCTGGCTCTTCAGCTTTGAAACGGAGATGAGCACCGCCCCCTAGAGCCAGAAATAACTAGCATGTATGTGCAGGGGAACCTTTACCTTTACGTAATGACTTCTGAATTGGGTTGGCAACTTTTTACTGGCCTCAAATCCTATATCTGAACCCTGCAGATAATGGTTCACTACACATAAGATTTTTGAGTGCCCAGAAGCAAGTTGGATAGAACATTTGTAACATTGAACAGGAATATCTTAATATAATGGTTCCTGGAGTTTAGCCATTATACTGTGAAGCTAGTTGATGGCTTTTTTAAAATTTAAATTATACTTACTGTGAAGCTCTAATTTCAATAGTTATGCTTCTGTTAAAAGAAATAAGAATTATGATTGATTCTAAAATGACCAATTCTAGAATGCTTTTCCCTTTTGTGAACTGAACCTTTTTCAGATAACTTCTCCATTTATCTTTATAATAGTCATTAGTATTCTTGAAAGCTGTAAATTTACCTCTTATTTTTATTGCAAGGGTTCTACAGCTCTTTGGGGGCATACTTTAGAATAGAAGAAGGCAATCTGGGCTTAGCATGGAGTATTTCAGTAGTATACAGCCAGGAACATGAAAATTGGCTCAGCCAACAGACTGCATAGAGAAGGAGCCAGCTCTTCAAGCCCTAAAGATTACCAGGGACTGAATCTAAAGGGAGTATATCAGGCAGATGGCGGATGCCTTTGCAGAGGAAGCATGCTTGTTGGGTCTCATTAGATGACATTGTGTAATAAAGAGGCCAAGTATACCTCTTGTGGGAGGAGCAGAAATGTTTGGAGAAAGGTAGTTCCATAAATAGAACAGTCCTCTGCCATGCTGGGCTTTATAGGCAGTAACCATCACCTTGAATTGAACCCGGAGGGAAACTGAGAGTCAGTGCAGCTATTGAAGTAGAGGTCCTACATAGATAGAGTCACACCCATAACTACCGGTATCTCATTACTACATTCTGGACCAGCTACAGCTTTCCAAGTAATCTTTTTTTTTCAAATTAATTATTTTATTGCATTATAAAATGCAAAGAATATATTATAGAATACCGATGATAACTAGGTATGGTGGTATTTATACAACTAGAAATTGTTAACACTGTGATAAATTAGGTCAATTAAACTTTTAAATAAGAGGAGGAAAAGTGTACACCAGTGTTAAATGTGATTTCTAAAATGTAATGAATATAGTGTTGCTTAAATTGTACAGTTAATGCTAAATATGGCAGTGATAAATGGGAAAAAGCACTGAGTTATTTTATGAGAAAGGTCTCAGTCTTTGAGACTAATACTTAATATTACATTCTTCCCTTCCTTGTTATTTATAAGTATTAAAAGCAGGGGTGAAATCCAGCAGATTCTGACAGGTTCTGGAGAACCGGTAGCGGAAATTTTGAGTACTTCGGAGAACTGGCAAATACCACCTCTGGCTGGCCCCAGAGTGAGGTGGGAATGGAGATTTTGCAGTATCCTTCCCCTGCCACATCCACCAAGCCATACCACGCCCATCAAGCCACAGAACCAATAGTAAAAAAATTTGAATTTCACCACTAATTTTAAAAATGGGGGGAGGGGGAAGGAGCTGCCTGGAAAATGTAGATAGATATTTAATTTCTAACTTCACCCACTTTTTATATTCTGATCAATTTACAGTGTTTATAAATATTTAGACTCCCTTAAAACTATATTGTGTTTATATATGGCTTGCTACATGATATACTGTCTATATGGAAAACATTCTTGCTTGAATTTGGTTAAACTTCTGTTGTGGGCATATGCTGTTAATTTTGCCATTGCTTCAGAATCTCCAAGTTTAAATTCCCAATCTGATATACTCAGTGTTGTATCTTTCTTCCAACATTGGTCATTGGAATTCCCAAAGCCCTGAGCATGTATCTCAGTAAATTATATTTTTCCAAGTAGTTTTTAAGACAGTCCCATGTAAAATCCATTGCAGTAATGACAATAGGTGACTAAAAAATGAGTGACAGTGAATATGGCCTTCTAATCTAAAAAGAGGTAGTTGGTACACAAAGCGGATCTCTTAGTTATAAATGCTCTTCAAGCAGGACTCAAGAAAATAGAAATAGTCTATAATTGCCCATCAGCTCTGTCTGGAAAATGCCATCCCATTCAGAAACAAGCTTATTAAAGCCACAGATTTAGGAAATCCTCCAAATATCAGCCACTTAGTCTTGTTAGGGTTGCAATTGTCTCTGATCCTCCCCATCTTAGCCCTTACAGCTTCCAGAGATTGCAAAACCAGCTTGACAACATCACTTGGTCAGCATAGAGATATCTAATTGGATATCATCAATAAACCAGAGTCAACCTGCTTCCCAGAGTCAAGGTGGAAGACTTCTTCTCTTTCTAAATTTTGTCTATTAAACCAGTTATCCAAGCTCCCCCTAACTGTTTTGTAGCCTGTCAAACTTAATTTGAATTGAAACACATGCTACAGAAGCCCAAGCGGCTAAAATATGACAATTCAAGTCTTCCTTAAGTGTCCAGTCTACTTTAGATTCCCTTAGTCATTATTTAATTTGGCAGCTATCCTCCTGCAGTTTCTAATCAGAACAATCATTTATCTTCCTCTGGCCTACACTTTTACCTCTCTTAAATATATAACCCTCAAGAAAGTGTCTTCAGCAAAATCAGGTATCTTGTTAATAAAAATTAGCACAGTATTTGAAAGATTCCAGATCAACTCAGCAATGAAATTTTATCTGATTAAAGGAGTGTCTTGATATTTCAACACTTTTTCCTGCTTCATTCATTTGCCTTGGGATTCATTTGTAAGTGACACATATATACCCCACAGAGGGTCATTGGAAATCTCAAACCAGGTGAGCAAAATCAACATTGTGGTTCATCTTTCAGCACAATCTCAGGAGAGTGGCTAAAGTGGAATGGCTGAACATTACACTTCACATGCAGAATGTCTAAATTGCAATCTCCAGTATCTGCAGGTACAGATGAAAAATGTCTTCCTGAGATCCTGAAGAAATTACACCGGTCAGAATCAGTGTTTCCTGTGACTTAAGTTTGAAAACGGGCATGTAGACCAATGAACCCAACTCCCATCACAAAGCAGGAATTCAAATTAAAGCAGCCCCAATAGATAACCGTCCGACCTTTGATGTATTCAGTAAATGAAGTTCACCATCTGCCTTGGAATGAATTTCACCATCAAATTATTCTTATTCCTTGGAACTTTTTTCTAGTATTATACTGAAATCATCCTTTCTCTCAATTAAAACCATAATTTTGTGCCTCTTCATTCTGGTACCATAGAGAACAAGCCTTAACTTCTTTTGGGGACATCCCTTCACTCACTTTAAATGTCTATTGTATTATCATTTTGTCATATTTTCTGAAAGCTTATGCCAGTTTTCTCAGTAAAACTTGGTTTCTAATCCCCTGCTTATTATGTTTGATCTTCTTAGCCTATGTTCTAATTTCTGTGAATCTTTCTCAACATTGAGAGCCCAATACTAGAGGCAGTATTCAAGCACATATTGAACAATATAGAATGAAATGAAACTCACCCTTTGATATGGAAAGTTGTCTTTTATTCATTTTTCTATCATAACTAAGTTGTAAAAATCTAGATGACTATTAATTGACAGCAAAGAAATATAGTACTCTTTAACAGTTTGCTAGCACACAGGTCATCTGGCTTTCTGCAGTCTAAGTTAGATAATTTATGCAATCTAAAATTACATTTGCCTTTTCAGCAACAATGTCCTGCTAGTGATACATATTCACTTCAATTACAATATATTTTTCTCATATACTTAGTCTGGCATCCCCTGCTGTATCTTTCAAATTGATTTTCCCCCTAAGTGATTAACTTTGAATTTGTCTCTATTAATTTCATTGTGTTATTTTTCAGATCACGTCCCTAAACTGTCAAGATTAGTTTAAACTTTATTTCTGCCTTTTAGAATATTAACTCTTCGCCCAGTTCTGCATTATCTGTAGATTTGATAAGCATTTCTTCCATTTCTTCATCAAAGGCATTAATTATGAAAATGTTGAAGAATACTTGGCCAAGTATGAAATGATGGATATGGTAAAGTTTAAGGTAAGGTGTAAGGTGTAAAGTGTAAGGTGTAAGGTGTAAGATAAGATAAGATAAGATAAGATAAGATAAGATAAGATAAGATAAGATAAGATAATCTTGATTCTCTTTTTTTACTGTGAACACACTGGTCCACATTAAAAATAAAATTCTGTTGCCTGCTCTCAAAAGAAAGTATATGTATTCCTATACACATACATACACATATACACATACTATATACATACATACATTCATATATATGTATTCCTATACACATACATACACACATACACACACACAGAATCTGGTTGTTCTGCTTCAGATACCACAAAGCCTCCTCCCAAAAGGTAACAAGGAAAATAGGTCATCAAGAGGATGTGTAGCATCCCAGACAATACTGCATCTCACTTGAT